ATTATATGATTATAACCAGTTTAAAAAGTTTCCTTTTTTTTTAATTACTACCAATCTAATATGATTTTTCAAAAAAGAAAAAAAAATATTAGGAATCACCACCAAAATATCGGATTTGGTAAGTGTTTGTGTATGGAAGACTTCACCGTGGATCTCGAATGAAAATATACTAGATCAAAGTTTTGTAATTTCCCCTCGCAATCCTTTCCTCATCGGGTAGGGACACACGACACGCTTCCCCTTTGACCCACCCCGCTTCGTTAAATGGACTTGCCTGCTTTAACTTTATGGCACTTTGGCTCAAGATCATCAACCTCGCCATTCTCTTCACATCAACCATTTCTCCTTCTCCCTCCCTCCCTCCCTCCCTCCCTCTCTCTCTCTCTCTCTTTCTCACTCTCTCACTCTCGTCCTTCACAAAATTCAGCTACCATTGTTGATATCTTTGTATTCTTGATCACAACCATAGCGATGGTGGTTCAAATGCACTTTCCCAACTCATTTCCTGCCGATAAATACCCTGCAACTGTGTGGATCTTCATAGGATGCTTGTTCCTTTATGCGTTTTCATTGGCCCGCTACAAGTCTCACGCCTCCACCTCAAATAATATTAATGATGACCCTTATATCGAACTCCCATCTCCCATAGCCGTAATCTCAGGAAGTATAGCTTGTGTTGCGTTAATATCAGTGCTGGTTACTAAGCCTGTCATAGCACTCATCATCGGTCTCTACTTCATGTGCCCCCTCATCTATTTTGCCCCCAACCCAGTCACCGACATGTGTAAGAAGATAGCTTCCCATGGGCACGATATATGCAAAAGAACTGAGCATAACGGTGACCCAGGTGACAACATGGAACTTGGAATTTAGGTACTAACAACAGAAAAAGAAACAAAGGTTGAGCAATATAATAACATCGATCAGACAGGTTTAGAGTGTGTGTATACATATGATGTAAGTGTATGTATTAATTCTTCCGATGGGAACCTGATCAAGTTGCTTCTGCAGTAGCTAAGCATCCAACAGTACATAAATGTCCTTTTAAAAGACTATTTATGCCTAACAGGATGTTTAGATCCTTCGCTTTTAGTTAGTCTTTCTTTTCTATTGGCATGTAATCACTTCTATCAAAAAAAAAAAAAATTATAGGGTCGTGTTTTTATATTGATCAGCTTGTTTAAATTTGTGATTTCAAATTCTGAATTTGTAAATGTGGTGTCAATTAATACCACTCCGGCCTCCATAAGTTGCTTATTATTACATACTATGAAATGCATTAAATTAATACAAAATTTTAAATCTGTTTTTAAAGTTTATTTTTTAACTAGACACAAGTATCTTCTTAGTTTTTATTAGATGTAATTCTATTAAAGGCACTATCAGCACTAAAATATTGGTACCTCTTCTAATAACGATTTAAATTTTGATTCGTCACATTATAAAGGATGAACTCCATTCACACTTTTGATTTTCTCACTCCATTTCATCATAATAGTATGGGCTTAACATTTTAATAAGCACCCTAAATAAAATAAAGAAAAAATAAAACTGAAAGAGAAAATTTTATTTTTTTACGTGTTAGACTTCACTAGAATGAAAATCTAGTAGTTGAGCTGAGAAAACACATATCAAAGATACCTATACTTTCTTTTAATTTTTAATTTGGTACCTATGTATTTTTACTTCTTAATTAAATCATTTAATTTTACTTTTTTTAGCAATGTTAATTCTTATAACTTTATCCTACTAGCATTTTTAGTCTCCATACAAGAGTTAATGATGCTAATAGAACAAATTTAAAGATTTAATAAAGAAAAAAAAATATCACATTAAAAAAAAAGTATAGGTATCTCCAAAATAATTTTTTCTTTATAATGTGCTCACAAGTCCATTGTTCCATTGACCACAGAAGATGGAGTCAGAGGGAGTATGGCTGCTTGTAGCACTCGTCTTCTTTGTCGACTTCGTGTGCCTGCTGATGTACTTTTCCCCCAATCCAGTAACCGAAATGTGGGGTAAATTAAATTGTAATTTTAAGAGTGATTTTATAATATACGAAGTAAATATTTAAAAAAATTTGTTTACATTTGTGAAAAAACACTTTTTAAAAGCATTTTTATCTAATGCCAAACACATCGTGGACGGAGGTAGGTTCATACACGACATATGTGCAAAAGAAATTGAGCATTATACAATGACTACACTGCAAACAACATAGGGAAAAAAAAACAGGCAAACAAAGCTTGGGCAGTCATCCTCTTTTTTTTTTTTTGGATAGTACAAAGCAGCAGACATAACTAGCGACTTATAGACACACTAACATTTGGGTTCCTACTGAAGCATTCTTTTCCAAACACATGTCGCAGCCAATCAGGTACCTCCGCGAATATGACGAGTTCAGTTTCCATGCACGTAGCGATTTTGGCTAGAGCGTCCGCGATGCCATTTACGTCCCTGCGGCACCACTTGATCTCCACCTCCCAATCTCTGTTTATCATACTTTGAATCTCGGAAACAGTGACCACATCCGGATGTTCCTCGTCCACCCCAGAAAGGATAGCAGTAATTGCTTCAATGCAATCACTTTCCACTTCTACCATTCTGAACCCATGCTCCCAAGCTGCCTTCAGTGCCCACAAGATTCCGAATATCTCAGACGAGAGACTCGAGCCTTCCATCATGCGGTGAAGAAAACCACAAACCACTTCGCCCCTGTGATTCCTAGCCACGCCCCCACAGCCTCTGGTATATCTCTGTGCATCAAAGGAACCGTCCACATTAAATTTGATGCATCCTTCATAGGGAGGAGTCCATTTAAGCACACCTTCGGATTGCTGGGAAGAAAGGGACGGCTTATTCCAGTTGAGACAAGCTCTAGTCCGAGCGAGGATGTCAAAGGGATGTTGAGAAGTTCCATTGAAAATTTTATCATTACGAGCAAGCCATAGAGCCCGGCACACTATTGCGAACCATTGCTTCCACTCAAAATTATCCACAGAGTCATTGTTAGCAATATTCCATCTGATCCAATCAGTGACATCGCTGTCCTGAAAGAATTTGCTTTGCCTCCTCACTGGTACAATTAGCTTCCAAACTTGTCGTGCGTTAATGCAGTCACGAAGCACATGAATCGTTGTTTCCATAGTAAGGCCACATATCTCGCATAGGCCTGAGTCATGCAGCCCCTTCTTCATCCGAGCCTCATTAGTAGTAAGTCTGTTCCTAGCACTAAGCCAAAGAAACGTTCGGCACCGTTGTGGAACTCAAAGTTTCCATAAGCGCCGCCAAAAGTTCTGTTGCACATGCCCAAGATCCGGCCATAGAGATTGATACGTAGACTTCAAAGAGAATCTACCATCTGCCGTCCACCTCCAAATAGGGATATCAGCAGACTCACTACAAGGAACGCTAATCTGATGAAGATCAGCGATAGCATTAGCTGGGAGGAATTGTTCAAGCTTCGAATACTCCCAACAACCGGAAGCCGATATAACATCAGCAACCTTCCAACGATTGACGTCAGCGGGAATATCCCGAACAGCAGCATCCTTCAATAGGGTACCTCGTGGGACCCATCTATCAGTCCAAAAATTAGCTTCCTGGCCTGAACCCAGTTGCCATCTCACACTCTGTTTAGTGTGCTCCCACATAGAGCAGATGCCCGACCACGTCCTTGAGCATTTACGCCTTTTCTCGACTTTAGGAATAAGATCCACCCCACATTTATATTTCTCCCGCAAAAACCTCACCCACAGTGCATCACGGCGTTTCACTAAACCCCAACCCAACTTGACCATATAACAAGCATTTTGATCCGACGCACGCCTTAAACCGAGCCCTCCATCAGATTTGCTACAACAAACAGTGTCCCAAGAGACAAGATGTGGTTTTCGACTTGTGGCCGTGTCACCCCATAGAAAACGTCTACATCTTTTATCGATTTCGTGACATATAGCAATAGGAAGTGGTGTAGTTTGCATAGCATAATTGGGTAAAGCAGATACCACAGACGACACCAAAGTATGATGGGCTGCAAATGACAGAGCATTCGCCTTCCAACCTGAAAGTCTTGACTCCATCTTGCGCAGAATATATTGAAAGGTATCTTTTAACACACGTTCATGATACAGCGGCATGCCGAGGTATTTGCCCAGATTAGCCGTGGACTGGAAACCCAAGAACTCGCTCATCTCCTTGCTTCTCATGTGATTAACATTCTCCGAGAAGTAGATTCTGGTCCTGGATGCATTTACTTTTTGACCAGAGATCATACAGAAATCATCCAAGATAGCTTTAATGAGCCCTGCTTGTCCATATCAGCTTCTGCAAATAGAAGAAGATCATCCGCGAAAAACAAGTGAGAAATAGCTGTTCCTTTCTGATGAAGCCTAAAAGGCCTCTATTCACCTCGATCAACTTCCCCCTGTATGATGTGACCAAGTTTCTCCATAGCAATGACAAAAAGGTATGGGGAAAGGGGATCCCCTTACCGGACACCTCGAGAAGGTTGGAACTGATTGGCTTTCTCACCATTCCAGAGGAGCTGCATAGTGGGAGAAGACACACAAGCTTCGATTACCCTGCGAATGTAAGGGGGGATACACAACTCTTTCAAACAGTCAAAAATAAAGTTCCAGTGAACCCTATCGTATGCTTTCTCTAGATCAATCTTAATAGCCATAAAGCCTCTCATCTTCCTCCTCTTCTTCATTGAGTGAATAATCTCCTGAGCTAGAATAATATTGTCTGTGCTCTGTCTCCCCTTCACAAAGCTACATTGATTAGGGGCAATAATCTTGGACATAATTTCCTTGAGTCTGTTAGTTATGATCTTGGTCACCATCTTGTATATAACGTTGCACAAACTTATCGGTCAAAAGTCCCGAATGGTTTGCAGCGTCTCCGTCTTTGGGATTAGCACTATCTGTGTATCATTAATATCTCTCACACGTGTCGGATCCTGAAAAATCTCTTCACCTTTCTACTAACACTGGCACCTACCACATCCCATTGACTTTGGAAAAAGAGGGGTTCAAGCCATCCGGCCCTGGTGCTTTGAGAGGACTCATGTCAAACAAAGCTCGTTTAATCTCAATATTATTAATTTGTCTGCCCAAGTTGTTCAGTTGAACGTTGTCAATCATGGGGTATCCCACATCAAAAATAATTGAGTTTCCTGTGTCAGGTTCCTCAAAGTAGAGGGACTCAAAAAACTTTGTACCCATTTCCATAATCACTTTGGAATCATAAGACCATTCTCTTGAATCAAGCTTGAGGGCCTCGATTCTATTTCTCCGGCGTCTACTATTAGCCACACTATGAAAGTAGCGTGTATTTCGATCACCATGTTGGTACCAATTGCACCGTGACTTTTGCAACCACATAACTTCCTCCTGAGCAAGTACTTCCTCTAACTGCACCCATAACTCCCTTCGAATCTGTTCTAGGCGGATAGTAGACCCCGTGTAAGTGGTCTTCCTGTTAAGATCTTCTAGGCGTCGATGTACTTGTTCCTTTCTCTTGTTAATATTCCCAAATACGTTTCTATTCCATCGAACGAGCTCCTTGGTAAACTTGGGAATATTTTCCGCCCAATCCCCTTGTTGAGGCCACGTTGTTCTAACGAAAGGGGAGAACTGTTCATGCATGACCCAAGGAGCAAGAAACCGAAAGGGCCGATTGCGTGCTGCAGTCATCCTCTTTTACCGAAGAATGATGGGTACTGGTTACCTTTCTTTGTATATAATATCCTTAAGTATATGTAGTGAAATCCGATATTTTAAACTAGTTTTTGGTATACTTGACACTTTGAAATATTTTTTAAGTAAACCAATATTTTAAAATAATTTTTGATACACTTAACACTTGAAAATATTTTTTCAGTGGAGACTAATATCCTAGAGTAATTAATTTTTAACTTAAAACATGTAGGGAGTAGTACTTAGTTTAAGGTGCTTGTTGCTACTGAGAAAAATAATTTAAAATATTATGTGTTATTAAAAAAATATTTTAAAGTATTGAATATACTAAAAATTATCTTAGAACATTGGGGTGCTATTAGAAAAATATTTCATAGTGTTAAGTGTATAAAAATTATTTTAAAATATTAGGTGCCCCTGAAATGTGGCATGTGTACCAAAATTCATTGGAGAGTACTTTTTTTTTTTGGCCTGAAGGAATATTGGATAGTACTAAAAACATGCTTCAAGATGCTAAATGCCATTTATAAAAGAAAAGGTAATTAGCGCCCATCATTTTACACCCAAAATGGTATGGTTTTGGACAAAGGAATGGGCATCGAACAGAAGCCGTTATTTATAGGAAAAATTTTTGGTACTTTTTATTTTTTATTTGTATCTTTTTTAATATTTTATTTTAATTCTGTCTCTATTAATTATAGTAAAGGTGAAAAGAGTGAAAATCAGTGAGAAAAAATATACTAGTATTTCATGTTTTTCTTAATAAGAGTAAAAATATTTTTTTATCTATTGAATACTTTCTTTCTTTTTTACCAGTCTATTTAATATTCTTTTTTATATATGAGAAACTTTTATAAATAATAAATAATAAAGATCATAGTAGTACTCATTACTATCCAAAAGTAATTTCACGCCCTCACGAGGCCACATGTTTCTTACTCCGAACAAGCAAACTTTCTCAAACTTTTGAAGGTAAAAGCTCTTTTCTCTCTTTGCTCAAAAAAAAAAAAACTCTTTTCTCTCCCTCTCTCTATAGTACATAGCTGTAAAAAATTTAAAAAAGGATATGCCATTTTTATCTTTAACTTTAGTATGATTTAAAATAAATCATAATTGTACTTTGTTTCTCTACGATAGACTTGCGATCTTCAATTAGTGGGTGATTTTTTTTACAATTAATTATTGTATAATAAAATGTGTTTGACTATGAGATGAAGGGAAATGAAAAAACAATCATCATGAAAAGTGTTTTTTTCGTAAATCGAAATAAATTTTTCTATATATTTATTTTATATGTTATAAAATCATTTTTAAAATTATAATTTCGTTTTTATTCAAACACCTTCTAAGTGGTTTTTGAAAGGTGAGGTTCTCCTTCTTTTCCGCTCAACCCAAGAGAATGAACAGTGTACATTGGAAATTTGGCTCATAGGATGCCTGTGGATTTAGTTTTGAATAATTATTACAGTGATGAGAATCATTGTGATTAAAATTCAATCAAGACTCTTAGATTGGTTGTGACCTAAAATGATGTTATCTCGGGTTTTTTTTTTTTTAATACAATTATTTTTAGGTTTTCCTGAATCGCTTTAAAACAAGGTATCGAAGACCGGATTTTGAATTAGTTAAGGTATTAGAATCAAGGATTAGTAGTCTGACTAGAGTTAAACCGTGAATCAAACCAATAGGAAACAAAAAAAATAAAAATTAATTTAAATTTTTGTCATGTCATCCGAAAGACTAAATATTAATTTAATACTACCTCCGATCCTTAATACAAGAACTTTTTTGACTTTTAATTTAGTTCTAAATATAAGACCCCTAATCTATTTTGTCTCTTATATTTATTTATTTTTTTCAAGATCATCCTTATAGTAGTTGCACATATTAAAGGTTTCATCAAATGATAGTTCTAACTAATACATCTGATTAGCCATGATATTTTAGGAAGATGACACCTATTGATTATAAATAACTAATTTAATTAATTTTTTTAATTTGCTTGAATTAATCAATTGGTTCTTATATTAAGGACTGAAAGTAATACATTGAATTTCTAACAAAATAATTATACAATTACATTTTCTTTCCAATTTTCTCACAATTCCCCTAACAAATTGAAATCCAAGTATCATACTATTAAAATTACTAAATATTCATTATAGTAAAATATCAAAATAAATTTATGGTAGCAAAATATTCCTATGTATAATTTTTTAGTAACCAAGGTAATAATTATTTAGTATTAAAACAAATTTAAAAAAAAAATCACAACTGAGTTAACTCATAAAACCGGTCGGGTTGACCCACTACCGGGTTTTTCTACCGACCAGACCTGCCAATTAATCATTTTTTGTCCAACCCAACCAGTGTGGTCCAGTCCTATTCTAAATACTATGCTCTACACTGGGGGGGGGGGGGAACGGACAAGGGTACTATATTCCTTCCTTTCTGAAGCCTGAAATAGTTTTCCCTTCATACAACAGTAGTGACCAATGACTAAATCGTAACTCTCTCTCCCCTGCCCAACTTTCCTCTCCTCTTTAATTGACATCAATCTCAACATTCAATGAAATTGTCTTCCTCTCTCAATTTCTTAATCTGTTTACAAAATAGGGGTCCCATGTTATTTTCTTGGCCAAGAATTAATGAATTAATTAAGAACCGTCCCTCGTACTCAACCCAGCCGCAACTAAAACGATCCGACCCGGCACCCGATACTTATACCAACCGACCACAAAAACAGGAGAAATATTAGAATTTCTGGACATCCCCGTCAAAACCACTCGCCAGCCATGCCTCTCCCCTTTCTCTGTCCATCTCTTCCCTTCCCACTTGATTTATAACTGGAGGGAGGTTCATCACTCTCTACACTATCCGTCTCAACATCTCTCTCTCTCACGTACACACACCCCATAGATGATCCAGTGAGGTTAGTATGCTTTCTCTCTCTCAATTACATACTCTGCTTTCTCATCCTTCATGTATACTCATCCGGTACTATTTATAAAGTAGAGAGGAAAGACTTTTTTTAAATCCTATTTATAAGGTACCAAGAGAAATTTTTTATATAGATATATAATTTTACCCTCCATTTATTACTGTATTAATTTTGTTTATATAGGATATAATGTATATTAAATAGAAATAAAATCAAAAACTTATTAAATTTTAAATAAGATATGTGCTTTACACGAAGTGATTTATAAATAAAAAGAAAAAAGAAAAGCAACGGGCAATCATCACGCAGGTTTTATAGTATTCTCATACTGCTCAAGTTATAATGATATTGTACTGTTTTTCTGCCCCTACAAGATCATCATGTAGATATAAATTTCTTCAATGTACGGGGGGATAAAATTGTAGCTAGAACGCAGTCTACATGTAGAAAGCTTTCCTAGTTATATTTGGCGGCGCTTTCATTAACAAAAGTTGCTCTGTCTCCCGCGTTCGAAACAGAGCCAACACAGAGTATTGTCTTTTAATTAATAAAAGTGCTTAATCTCGCGTGACATGGAAGAGGCAGGCGAAGACGAAGAAGCCATGAAATGAAACGAAGCTTCTCTCATGCTCACAACAAAAGCCTTCCTTCTATATATAGACACACACAGAGAAGAAACCGCCCACGAAATTTGACAGATCAAAACGATGATATATGAACTGAAACTACATATATTAAACTGAACTGAACATCGCAATATGGCATTTAAGGGAAAATTTTCTCATTGCCTGGAAAGCCTAATCCTTCTAATCCCAAAAAGATAAAATCTCATTTCGGCCCCATAAAAGGATATGAAACCAATTTCTATGCTCCACATAGTACAATGAAGAGTAAGATGGTACTATAATGCAGAGACCATCTCAATGTCGCTGGCCTATGCCTGTTTAGCTGTCATGAAAAAGAAATATTTGGCTTTCGCAGTTACATTCTACAAGAGGAGATAACATGCAAATCTAATTTTCTTATTTTTATTTTTTAAGATAATTTTTTTAACAAATATAGTATAAAAAATAAAAATAATCTCTCAATAATTATTTTTTAAAATAATTTTTATTTAAAAATAATTAATTATAAATATTCAATATAGACTGCTCAGATTAAATCTGGATGGTAAGTGACAAGCGCTGGGTGACACTTGATGGGTATCAAAAGTAGTCCCAACCTGATTTACAGGATGGATCAGTCAAATATTTGGTCAATGACTTGGAAATTGAATATTGATCCTCAGGTAAATTGCTGGTTTGGAAAATTTCACATGGAATCCTTCCCACATCTTTCTTCCTAGAGCACTGGTGTCTTTTGCCACAAGGAAACTGAATCATTGACTCACTTGTTTACTAATAATCTAGAGCAAAAATACTACGAAATCAAACTTTTAGGATATATAAGAACTAAAAAAAACTCTAAATACTAAGGTAATATTTGGTACAAAGTATTGAAAATAAGGGATAGAAATTAATATTAAGATTGTAAAAATAGTATTTAGCATGAGAGATTACTCATTATATGAGATTAGACAAATCCATATATATGAGATTGGGAAATACTGTGGGGAAAAGTGGTATTCCCCAACCCCATTTTTATGGGTTTGCCCAATCTCATGTATCAAGTAATTATTAATGCTAAAGATCTTTTGAATGATTTTTTTTAGTTATAATCACTGTTCTTATCCCTCATCTTCAATACTTCGTACCAAATGGAACTTAAGGTTACGTTTGGTAAGAAGTATTGAAAATGAGAGATTGGGATTGAGATTACAATTGAGAAAATCTATTAAAAGAGTATTTAGTATAAGAGATTGTTTCTTATATGAGATTAGTTAAACCCATGAGATTGGAGAATACTATGGGGGGAAGTGGTATTTCTCAATCCCACATCTATGTGTTTGTCTAATCCCATATAATAAGCAATTACTCATACTAAATATTATTTTAATATTTTTTTCAATTATAATCCCAATCCCGATTCCTTATTTTCAATATTTCGTACCAAACGAGACCTAAGTGCTCATTCATAAATACTTAGGGATATTTAAACACTTTATCACTTAATATTTTGTTGTAATGGATTGTACCAAGTAGTGCTTCTCTTAAAACAACACGCGTCCTGCTCGAGCTTCTCTTAAAACAACACCTTCCTGCTCGAATTCCGACTTTCCAAAATGGTTTATGACATAAGAGTAATTTTATAAAGCAATTAATTTACAATAATAATTTTTTTATTTTGAATTTCGTTTTTTGTTCTTTATTTTATTGCAAAATCGCTTTAATCATTTTTTTATTGAGAACCTGGTTCACACGATAAACGTATAATAAAACGACCAGCAAAAATTGAAAACAGACAAACAGAGTATTGTCTTTTAATTAGCAAAAGTGTTTATCCCTCCCAATCCAATTACACCAGTCGCAATGGGAGCCGCAGGCGAAGGCGGAGGATGATCCTTGAGAACACCGGAGCCATATTCAGAGGTTGCAGCCACCGGGGACGGAGGAAGGTTGGTATTGGCCTTTGGGTTGCGAAGGGAACAGGCAGCACCGTCGTAGGCCAGCCCCGCCGCCACCGTAGCCACGGACGTGCCTAACCAAACGCGTGTTTTCTTCCATGGGTGGCGAATCCTGACGGAATATCAACCCCACGGCTGCTTTCTCATCCCTCTGTAGTGAACTCAGGCGACATGGAAGAGGAAGGTGCAGACGAAGAAGCCATGAAATAAAACGAAGCTTTTTAAGTATATCTCTCTCACACTCACGAGAAAAGCCGTCCTTTTGTACACCCAAGAAATTTAACGGGTCAAAACGATAATGTATGAGGTTATGAACTGAAACTACGCATCTGAAACTGACTTGGAGATTAGGTAGCCACTAAATGACAAATAGCGTTTTATTTAGCTGGTTGGCTTAAATATATTAAAAAATTAATTGAGTAATAATAAATAAATATTATTTTTTAAAAATATTTTTAGTAATGTATATTAGTTAGAAATACCATTTGATAAAACATTTAACATGTGCAAATAATAAGAATGTAAACTTGGATCATGAACTTATAAGAATTTACTTTTATTAATAAGTTGGCACTAATTGTATACAATTAAATAATTATAATATAAAAAATAAGTAGATAAATATGTGAGATAAATATTCAGAACCAAATTGTTCAAAAGTTAGAATACAATGCAATTTAGCACAATCATTCAACAATGTGGCCATCCATAAACGTTAAGGTGTGTTTGGCTTAATAGAGGGAATGAGAAGCGAGGGATTTTAATGGAAGGAAAGGAGATAAATGGGAGAAAAAGGATTTTAATTATATCTTGTTTGGATTAATACCAAGGGAGGGGAAAAGAAGAATTTTAATGTTATCTTGTTTGGTTTAAGAAGAGAGGGGAGAAAATATTTTTGTATGGACAATTTTACTCTTATATTATTTAAATTGCTTTTTTAAAAACTTTATAGAGTAATTAATAAAATATAATTATAAATAATATTTAATATATAAGATCAACTTTTATAATTAGCAAAATTAAATATGTTTAATTTGAGTATTTTTTTTAGCTTTTATTTTCCTCTGTGTTGTCGGTACGAGTAGCCAAATAACTTTTTCAAAGACGATATAGGTAACTATTTGTGTGTTTTTGTTTTGTGTGCTTAATTTGCATTTGGATAGTGAAATATAGCTATGTATCTTATTTTTGAAATATATACTATCATTTAATTATAAAATCATATAGAGACATGGCCACATGTACTATAAAACTTAAAATATTTTTCGATATTAAAATGTATGAATACTAAAATGGACATTACTTAGATCAATTAAGTTTTTATGATTATTATGCCAAGTACTCCGATCAATATGATTGAAAAACTTAACACAATAATTACTGGACACCTGACCTAAGCTTTTTTCCTACTAAAATATCGTCCAATAATCTTTGAAACTTCCGACCACCTACCCACGCCATTGCATTCCATTCACACCATGACTCCGGCAATCAAAACCATGAAACAAGGCATCACAAATCTAAACCATGGAGCAACAATAATTACGGACATCATGAGAAATACAAATCGCAAAAGCCAGAAAAATATTTTATCTCTAATTGATAAAATTTTTTTTAATTATACTAGTTATATCATTTATAAAGGAGAAAGTGGTGTCAGAAAAATAGAATTTCTTAGAATAAATTTTCAAAACGGTCGGTATAATTTATAGATACTTTTTAATCTATATATCTATATAACTTGTTACAAATTAAAAAGTATTTTTATGTTTTTTAACATTAGAGATACGGTATTTTTATAAATAATATATTTTTATAATAAAAAAATATGTTATTATTCTCAACTAGAAACATGTTATTTTACAATGAGAACTTGTTATTCCTAATTGAAGTATTGTCATTTTTAATTAATTCATATATTATATATTAGGAAAAAAAGCATCTTACTAGTCCCAACTCTAAACTTGTAATTTTCCAATTAGGACTTGTTATTTTTAATTGATTCACATATTGCATACTAAGGAAAAAAAAATGTATTGTTAATCCAAATTTGAGGCTTATTATTTCATAATTAGGACTTATTATTTTTAGATGAATTATTATAATTTTTAATTAATTCACATGTTATGTATCAAGAAGAAAACACATTGTTAATCCAAATTTTAGACTTATTATTTCACAATCAAAACTTATTACTCTTAAATAAATTGTTATCATGAGTTGAAACCAAAGTAAATAAGTTAACTTATATATATATTTATTGTACTATAATGTTAACAAAGTTTCTTGGTTCAGTTGACCTCTTTAAGTTTAGCAACCACTTTGTTGGGGATCAAATCCCACCAACCCTACTTTCCTCCCTCGTTAACAAGAAAATCCTCTTGCAGCCTAGCTTGCCGGTACCAGAACTCCAGTGGCATCTAATGAGGGGTTGAAACTCTTTTTTTCTGGAAAAAAAAATAGAGAGACTTTTTGGTTATTTTCCTTAGATTTTAAAATTTTAATTTCAATTTACTTTTTTATTATTATTTTGAAGTGTTAGATACCAAAATTAGTATACTGTAACTTCAAGGTTTTTTATATGAGATTTTCCTATTAAAAATCCTTTTTTCTTTTCATTTTCACTTAAACATATTTAATACTCCTCTGGTTCTTAATATAGGATCTAATTGTTAAGTTGATTTTAGTCCTAAATATAAGACCTATTTATCATATTTATCAAATTTTTATAAATTACTCTTATGGATCTCCTTCAATCATAATTAAGTAGAAGAGGGAGAAAGGATATTAAGAAAGATGATTATAGTGTTTAAAAAAAAACATGTCATATTTTTTTATAATTGACTAACTTACCTAACTTACTTAATCTAATCAAATTAGTTAAATAGGTTTTATATTAAGGATTGGAGGAGTATTAAAGTACTACCTCCGGTTCTTATTATAAGAGCTAGTTGACTATTTTGAGAAGATTAAGGTAATGAGTTAAGTTAGTTATATGTAATAAATATGTATTCTCTTTCCTAAAATATTTTTACTAATCAAGTGTGTTAGTTAGAACTATTATTATTAGAAGGACTATTTTGAAAGAATATATAAATATTAGAAACAAGATGAACTAAAATTTTATATTTAAGACTAAAATAAAAATCAAATAAGATCTTATATTAATAGAGATAGTGCCGTATATGGAGTTATTTTGCTTTATATCCTGCCAGACCCTCACAAAACGAAGTCGCGTCTCTTACGTCATGATGCTTACGTAGACTGGATCGGTCACGACTCACGACGCTGCCCACGCTTCTACCACACACGATGTGCTTTTGCAGGCCACGCGCTATACTACAACATCTGATCTCATCTTTAATTCTCTCCCACTCCGTTTTTTTTTTTTCCAATAACGTAAATAAAAAAATTAGTTAAAAAATAAATGAGTAAAAATTGAAATTTTTTTTAAATACTTTTATTTATGGTAGGAAGAGTATTAAAAAAGAATAAAAAATTATTATAATAAAGAGAATTATGAAAGGAAGACAATGTGTGAGGGAGAGAGATGATTATTTGAAAAATAAGATAATAAATATACTGAGTATTAAAATGAGTAATTAATAAGGGAAAAAAAAGGAATTTGCTACAAAAATTCAAAACAACTTACAAATATTGCTTATCTTTAGGGAACAGAAAAAAATGATAGTTGCTACTTATAAAAAGGGACGATTGGATTGGAATACTAATTTTGTTGTACTTAGTAAAGTAATTAAATTAGTTATTTATAATTAATACATTAATATTTTAATCATGTGTATTGAAATAAATCATTAATTTGAAACTCTCTTAATATATATAATTAATATGATTACTTTAGAAAAAACATTATAAATTTAAAAGATAAAATAAATTACGATATTATATTTAAAATTAAAGCAAACTTTTATCGTCTACCTTGTATCTATCATTAGAGGTAGGGTAAAAAATTATTATGTTGGGTCTTTAATATAACATACATTTTGATACCCAAATTGCATTCCATAGTAAATTTTTTTTAATCAATAAAGATAATGACTATTTATGGAAGTCACCAAGACAAAGTTGTTATAAATTACAAATTTTAACAATTTTCTTAGTATTTATAATTAGTTACATAACTGACGTATTTAAGTCTTGATAAAGTGACCTCTTTAGGGAAGAGGGGAAGAATTTAATCCCAAAAGAAAAAATTGCAATAAAATTAGCATGATATGGCAAAAAAAGTCACCTAGCCTCCGTTTTCTCCGCCACTAATAGTGGCTTTGTTTTCTGTGTTGGAACAGAGCCAAACAGGATATAGCCTTTTAACTAACAATTTCTCATCCTTCCCGACTCAGCTAGACCAATGGCAATGGGAGTCGCCGGCGAAAGAGGAGGAGGATCGAAGGCGGTCATATCCTTGAGAACGTCGGAGCTGGAGGAAAGTTGGTTTTTCATATTAAGCCACTTTTGTCCAATTGATGACTGGCATGCCCCTAACACTGCCCATATGTAAATGGAAGTCCACAGTTATGGAAGAGACATAACCTCAAATTCTCACTTTGGAACAGCTATCACAGGAATGGCTCATGGGTTTTCTTCGCAAGCCTAAGATTCGTGTTGAAGGATGCGTCATCTTCTTCAGGAAGAGGTGGTCAAGAAGGAGGGCTCAAAACAGACCAGTGTCGTGTTACAGCATGCCCACATGGTTGAGAAATTGAAGCATGTGCATGACTAAGAAGCTGCTAAATCAGAAGCAAATTGGCAATTTACCGGTGCCTCGTATCGGCGAAATGAAAATAAGGAAATAAACTCAATTTAAAAAATTAAAAAAATTATAAAATTTTAATGAGTAAAATATTTTTTATTTTATTTTTGGGAAAATTGGGATAAATCCTTCGTTAAAAATTTAATTGACAAATAAAACTTAAGGACTTTGTGTAACTTGACTTTTTTTGTATGTAATTTATCTTCCTTTGTGTGTAATGATCTTTTATGCGACGTATAACTCAATTTCCTTTTTTGCTAATAAAATTATCTTATGTGCAAGTTATCTTCCCTCTATACAAACTAATCCCTTATATCCAAATAATATTCTGTGCAAACTCTCTTCTGTTTGTACAACTTACTTTCTTTTGTGTGCAATTAATCTTCCTTTATGTAATCAATCATCTTATGTCCTATTTGTCAATTAAATTATCCCCAATTTACCCTTTTATTTTTTTAATTTTTTAAATGGTTAATTTTTTTTTTTCTCGTTACCTTTCTTTTATTTTCCTCGCACTAATTGTGTCTCGAATTAGTCCATGTACCCGTTCAGTTTCCTAAGGTGCAGAGCCAAAGCATAGACGGGGTCCAATCCCGGGATCGACGAGGTTGTCTTTGCGTCTTGGACTGGAACTAATACCGTGGCCCGCGCACTATGGATGAAAAACTTTAAAATGTATGGACTAAGATATATTTAATACTCTAAATTATTTTTTAAAATATATTTAGTATCTTAAAATATTTTATAATATATCTAGCATTTAAAATATCTTTTCACATACATCCAATAACTTAAATTATATTTTAAATATCTATCATTTTAAAATATTTTTTAGGTGCATTGAGCATTGTAAATTCTTTTGGTACATTTAGCACCATAAATTGATAAATATAAAATTGCACAAAAAAAACTTAAAATGTTAAATGTACCATAAAATATTTTAAGATATTGAATGTATTTTTAAAAAAATATTTTTTATGGTACTGGATGCACAGATAGCTTGACTCAATCCGAATCATTCAAATTAAATTTATTTATCATAACAATCAGCAACATGATATCAACTTAATAATTTTTTGAGAGGGTTTAATTGCCCATGATAAATATTCAAAGAATACTAAATAAAAAATAAAAATAAATTCATTAATAATAATACTCATGATATTCAATTACAAAATCGTTAGTGTAAAGCTTAAAAGAGCATACTTTCAGTACCAAACCATTATATATTTTTAACAAATTAGAATAAAAACTAACTATTTTTAATGCATAATCTAGTTGTAACAATAGTATGCATATTCTGCATATATTAGTAGCTGTTGATGTTGATAGCGACCGTGGAAGACTCTTGTCATCACCCTCACGATCTTGACGACAAGAATGTTTACACACACACACACACACCTCATTGATTACACGTCGACATAAAAATTCAGGCGTCTATTAAGTGCTGCGTCAAGTCGCATCCCAGGAGCTCTTATCCAAGACTCCCTCTCGTCTTTTTCTTTACAAGAGCCTCATAATCAAATTACGTAGTGTGAAAAAACAGATAAAATTAATTAAACATAATAAATATGGAAGAAACTCAAACAACCTTCCCCACTTTCAGTTTTTAAATCCAAAGTTAGCTTCGTCTTTATAAACAAATTATACATTTTTAGTTATACTCATATTATTATTTTTATTTGAAATTTTGAATAACTGATTTTGAAATTAAAATTATGTAATATACTTTTTCTTATTTTATTGAAATATTTTTTTCTCCGACTCGACTTTATAATTTATCATATTTTTAGAGGGGTGAAAGATTTTAAAAAACATATTAATAAAATTAATAAATATAGTAAGATATATAAAAAAATATTTTATTATATAAAATTAATAAGGATAAATTATCCATATAAAAATATTTTTTCTCCTCTCCCATACTAAACTAAATAAGATAATATTAAATTTTCTCCCCTAGTTAAAGTTCCTTCCCTTTCTCCCCCGAACCAAATACGTCCTAAAGGCCTGTTTGATTCCATAGAATTCATTTTAATGGATTTGAAAATGGAGATAGATATGAAAATTAATATGGATATAAATATTAAAAAGATGTTTGGTTGAAAATCAAATTTAATTTTTAATTAATATATATGTATTAAAGGACACTACTTACTTCCAGTTCATCATATCCATTATGTCAAGCTCTCCAATCAAATATAGCTATGTATCGTATTTTTAAAATATATACCATCATTTAATTATAAACTCATACGGAGACATGGCCATGTGTATTGCAAAATTTGACATAATAAATATACGAAATTTGACCTAAATATTTTCCTATATTAAAATGTACGAATACTAAAATGCACATTACTTAGATCAATCTAGTTTCTCCTGTCAAGTTTTCCGATTATTATAATTGAAACACTTAACGGACATAAATCTAAACCATGGAGCAACAATAATTACGGACACCATGAGAAATACAAATCGCAAAGCCAAATTACAGTGATTGGAGAACTTGATGACCACCAGAATGTTTCCTACACACACACACACACACCCCTTATTAACTAATTAATCAATCAATCAATCACACGTCGGCGTAAATATGTTACTTGACCCTCCTGTCTATTTTTCTCATCTTTGTAGGAAAGTTCATAATACTTGCAACTTTTCACAAATGTAGATGTGTGTGTCTGTTGTCCTTACACAAATACATAAGTTCAACTATGAGATTTTTGTGATGATGGGGGCGTCCACGCCTTAACCTCATATTACTTTAGTCCTTGGCATTGCTCGCCTTTAGTTTCGTCTTCTTATAAATCATACGTAGTGTGGCACTTTCTCCCTCATCCTCAACATTGTCTTTAACATAGCTGATCCATGGCCGATCCAGTGAGGTTAGTTTTCTTTCTCTCTCAATTCTTACGTACCACTCTGCTTTCTCATTCTTCGTTGCTCTCATCTTATTATCCCAACTCCATACATGAGCTGGAAGTGCCAGCTGTTCCTCAAATTTGGACATCTTCCCAAATATTTTTTTAAGTTTCTTTTCATCACTAGATTCTAAATAATAATGGTGAGTTTGTTGGTTTTTTCGCAGTTCAAATCCATGGCATGCTATGTTTGTATTCTTGATTACAACCATAGCCACGGTGGTTCAAATGCACTTTCCCAGCTCATCTCCCTCCGACAAATAGTCTGCAAACGTGTGGATCTTCATAGGATGCTTGTTCCTTTATGCCTTTTCATTCGCCTACTACAAGTCTCACGCCTCCAACCCTAATAATATTAATGCCACCCCTCATTATATCGAACTCTCATCTCACGTAGCTGCAATCTCAGGAAGCATGGCCTGTGCTGTGCTCATATCAGTGCTGGTTTCTAAACCTGTTATAGCACTCATCGTCATTATCTACTTCATGTGGCTCCTCGTATATTTTGCCCCAAACCTAGTAATCCAAACATGCAAGAATATAGGTTCGTATGTGTTCGACATGTGCAAGGGAATTGAGCATAACGATGACCCAGCAGACAACATGGAAGTTGGAAGGTATTAAGGAAAAAAAAAAAAAAAAAGAAAAAGAAAAATCACAGGCTTGGCAATCATCAGACAAGTTTATATGGAATAATGATATTGTACTGGTTTTAGATCATAATTTAGGAATAGGTTTCTGCCTCTATTCATATGGAAGGCTTTCCTACTCATATTTGGAGACGCTTGTACTATTGTTTTAATCATAGATGTTTTATTGTTTACTTGTTCTCTATTGAACATAATTTAGTGCTGGTTTCACACATGAACCCAGTCATCTATTTATTTAACAAAATGAAAGGGATCTGTTCTGTACTTGTGTTGCTTTCATCCTGCCGAAGCACACCAGTTCATTAAACCTAAATAAAAGTACGTTTCAGAGTTGAAAATACTGGTGGGAGAAAAGAAAGAAAATAAAACAGAGTTGAAGATGCAGGCAAATCATTAGAACTTCAAGTATGTTTTGGGCGCCACCTTATGACTCTCGGTCAATTAAATATTTGGGATAAGATAATTAAATACTTTGAGAATATCATAAAGAAGCATCTAATACCTGATCATTATTTGCCATTAAGTTTGATCATTAAATTATATAGTTTGACTTGTATTTTTAACCATTAAGCTTAATTATATATAACATTTTAGAACAAAAATACTATGAAATCAAACTTTCAAGACATATGAAAACAAAAAAAAAAAACCTTCCGCTTCCTAGTTGCTCCTTGATAAATATTTCAAAATATTTAAAAACTTAATCTCTAAATATTTTTGTTGTAATGGATTGTACCAGGTAGTGCTTCTCTTAAAATAACACGTGTCCCGCTCGAATTCCGACTTTCCAAAAGGCCTAGAACATAAGAATAATTTTAGAAAGCAATTAATTTACAATAATAAATTTTTTTATTTTGAATTTCGTTTTTTGTTTATTATTTTGTTGCCAGATGCCTTTTTTCTATTTTTCATTTTATTATATCTATTTTAATTATTTTTTTATTGAGAAACCCCCTTCACACTATAAACGGATAATAAAGCCATCAACCAAAATTGGCTCTGTTTTCGAGTATTGTCCTTTAATCAGCAAAAGTGCTTATCCTTTCCCGCCCAATTACACCAATCGCAGTGCGAGCCGCAGGCGAAGGCGGAGAATGATCCTTGAGAACACCGGAGTCATATTCAGAGGTTGCAGCCACCGGAGATGGAGGAAAGTTGGTTTTGGCCTTTGGGTTGCGAAGGGAACAGGCAGCACCGTCGTAAGTCAGCCCTGCCGTCACCGGAGCTTCGGACGTGCCTAACGAAACGCATGTTTTCTTCCATGGGTCGCGAATCTTGACGGAATATCAACCCAACAGCCGCTTTCTCATCCCTCTGTAGTGATCTCACGCGGCGTGGAAGATGAAGGCGAAGACGAGGAAACCATGAAAAGATACGAAGCTATTTAGTATATCTCTCTCACACTCACAAGAAAAGCCTTCCTTTTATACACCCAAGAAATTTGACAGATCAAAACGATGATGCATGAAGTTATGAACTCAAACTACACACCTGAAACTGAAACGCAGATTAGATCGCCACTAAATGACAAATAGCATTTTATTTACGTAAATACTACTCTGTCCATATGTAATATAAGAGCCAATTATATAATTTGAGTATATTAAAAAAATTAGTTAAGTAAATTATTTATAATAAATAAATGTCATCTTTTTTAAAATATCCTTACTAATCATGTATATTAGATAAAAATATTTTTAATATCTATAACAACTACAAAAACTATCTTGAAAAAAAATATATAAATATGTAAATAAAACGGATTAAAATTTTATATTTAGGCCCAAATTAAATATCAAACTAGTTGTTATATTAAGCAGGGGAGTTAGTATATGATGGAATTTATCACAATCATTCAATGTGGCAATCCACAAACTGTAAACCCGTGCGACGAAGAGAACTAGAGAAGTTTCATAAGCAATTAGAAGCATAGGGGTGCATTGTTGCAATCAGCATCAATCGATTTTTTTGTTTTTTAATATGGAATCCACTGAAGCATAAAGAAGAGGATCGACGTTAAGGAATCCATTTATCATCTCCTATCCTTGATATATTATATTTTAAACTATTTCACAATAATTAAGAAAATTGCTCCCTCAACTCCTTTTTTATAAGGAAACAAAACTACTTGTTACTGTTTATATTTATAAGTGACATCTTAGTGATGTTTTAAATTTTTTAGTTGTTAATTTCCTGATTTACCCTCTTTAATTACTCTTTTTAATATCAATACCTTAAAATATTCTCTCCGCCATATATTGTCTCTTCTTCACAATTCTTTTTATTTTAATAATTTCTTTAATCTCTCTCTTATACTTTCTCCCCCATAAATAAGGGTGTTTTAAAGAAAAATATTATAGTTTTTACATATTTATTGTCTTAATCAATTTTAACCAAATCTTTAATCAATATAATTCAGTCAATTGTTTTTTTTAATAAAAAAGAATGGAGGGAATAGTTTGTATTATTAAAAAATTATTACTACTTTCCAACTTTACCTTCCCATTAAAATCAACTCACCCTAGTTATCTTTAATTTTTTCTTATATAATCTCTCTTATTAATAAGGTTATTTATGAAAAAGAAGAATGTAATATTATTTATTTTTCACAAAGTAAGTAATATATTTTTGGACTATAAAAACTTTCTAGAAAACTTCCTAACTATAAAATAACAAGGATATAGGAAGAAGTACCCTCTTTTTAGCTACTTAATATTATACTGCTGGTAAAAAAATACTAATATATTTTTTTTTGAAAAAATGTGATTTTTCTCCTACATTGTTTCTACGAATAAATTTTATAAAACTTACAAATATTAAAATATGTTTTAGGCTTCTCCGATAACATGTGGCTCCTAAAAAACAAAAAGATATTCTCTAATTTTTAACTTTAACTACTTCTTAATCTAGAGTTGTTTTTTTCAACTTTTTAAACATATTTTCAATTCATTAATGAATTAGAAATTCATAATAAAATGGAAAATAAAATTGCTTAATTGTCTACTCTATCTATGTTAAAAAAAAAGGGAAAATTAGGGAGAAGGACTTGCAAGAAGTAATATTTATTAAGAAGAATCTTAAAAAGTGTAATTATTTAGAAGGACCAAATATTAAAATATAATTTTAAAAATATGAAAGTACCCTTAACCAAATCTCCTATCTTTCCTCTAACCACTGCTTTTGAATTTTAAATTAAATCCTTGATTTAATTTAATTATTAAATCTTTAATATCTCATACCAGCGAATCTCTCTCTCAATCATCTCATTTCTCAATATGGATTCATACCACTAATACTTTTCATTGCCCTATACCAACCGTTGTTAATTCATGGTTTGTGCCATTATTAGATGATTAATAATGACAGTAATATTGTATAGACCTCACCAATTAATGCAGCGAGTCTTATTGCATCTGGATAATATTTGGAGATTAATTTTGAGATTCCTCAAATTAATGTGTTACATAATATTAGTGTCATGATCTATGTGATTTATTAATTTTTTTTTCGTTTTTAGTATGTTGCTTTTTTTGTTATTTCAATTTTCAAACTTCACACTCAATTATTTCGTTTATAATTTTTTTTGGGGTTTACAATCAATTGAGCATAGATGGAATGAGGTTATAGTTTCGGCTAAATGTATGTTATGTGAACAGTATTTAATTATTTATTGTTATCAGACCTGAAAATTGAGATAATAGAAATATGGATATAAAAGTAAAACAACAGTGCAAAAATATTTTTGTTAATGAAAAATAGGTTGCAAAGTTAGTGGTTACTGGTTAGAGAAATCGTAGGAGATTTAGTTGGGAGTATTTTAGTATTTTAAAATTTACATATTGATATTTTGTCCTTCTAAATAATTACACTTTTTAAGATCCTCCCTAATAAATATAATCTTTTCTTAGTCCTTATCTCTAATTTTCCCTAAAAAAAAGTCTAAAGTATACTTTTAGTCCTTTAACTTTACATAAGGTTTCATTTTGGTCCCTTAATTTTAAAAAGTAAATTTTTAGTGCTTGTTTGGATCAGCGATTGGAAAAACAACTTACAAAAAAGTGACTTATAGAAAAGTGAAGTTGGTAAATTGGATAAGCTGAATTGTGTTTGGATTGGAGTTCAAAAAAGTTAGTTTACAAAAGTGAGATTGGTAAAAACTTGTTTGGATTATAATTGAGTAAAAGTAAGTTTGGTTTAAAAATTACCAAAATGGGTATGAGTTTTAATAAATAATGAAACATGATGAAAAATTGATTTCAAACAATACAATAAAATTAAAATAAATTAATATGAAGAAATAAAATTTAATGAGTGGATTAAATTTTAAAATTTTTAGAAAATCATAAAAATATTTGAAATATAAAGTGAAACATGAATAAAAAAGAATTGAGATAATATAATAAAGAAATGAAATTTAATGAGTGAATTAAAATTGAAAACTTTAGAGAAATCATAAAAAATATTTTAAATATAAAGTGAAACATAATTAAAAAAAAGAATTGACATAAGACAATGAATTTAATTTAATTTAATATGAATAAGTGAAATTGATTAAGCGAATTAAATTTGAAAACAGCAGAGCAATGGAAAAACATAAGGCAAATAAAAGCGAAACATAATTTGAACGGATAAAACTGTTTTGAACTCCAATTTGCAGTATTGCGACAAAGTGAAACGAAATAATAATATTACATAATTAATTAATTGATAAGCTATGGATAATTTGCCGTATTGCGACAAAGTGAAACGAAATAATAATATTACATAATTAATTAATTGATAAGCTATGGATAATTTGCAGTATTGCGACAAAGTGAAACCACAAGCAAGCAAAGCCGAGCGCCGTCAGAAAACCATAAGGGAAAAAATAAAAAGAACTATCGGCTAGCAAAAACAGAGGACAACAAAAAACCACGAAGGCGATGAGAAAAAGATCACACCACCGGCGAGCAGAGGCAGGCGACCATGAAGAAACCAGAAGGGAACAAAATAAAAACAACCACCGGCCAGAAACAGAGCACTACAAAAAACCAGAAGGAAAAAAATAATAAAACGACTAGCGGCGACGGAGAACTCTTGACTTCCACCAACGACAGCAAATTCAAGCACGAATCAAACCAGAAAAGAAAGAAAAAAATTTACCGCCAACCTGTAACAGATCAACCCAATCGAAGGCTGCCAGAGGTAGATCCCACAGTGTATCAGACTGGCAAGGCAAGATCTCCACACACAGCTCGAAAGCACAGGTAGACGGTGGCGACCTCAGTTGCAAATGGCGGGACCAGCTTGGACTTGCAAGGAAGAAGCACCCTCCAGTAGGCCATGCACACCTCACACCCACTATGCGGAGCTCACGACGATGACAAGGCACAGCTCACGGCGACCAGAGAGGGACCTTCTGCAGGGCGACCAGCGACGGAGATGGCGTGGGACTCTTGGGTGAAAAAGAAACGAAAGTGATGCTCGTGAGAGGAAAAGGCAAATGGGAGAGGAAAAAAGGATCTGACATTGCAGAACAGCTCTTCTGAATTTTTTTCCCGCCAAAAGCTCTTCTGATTTAAGTCATAAGCTCCTTCTTGCAGCTTATGGCAATTGGGCATTCAGATAGTTTTTTGTAACATAAGCCCAATTAGTTTTAAGCTCTGCCAAACAGGTCCGATTTGCAACCCAGCTTATTTTAAAATTTAAGCTCATTTTAAGCTACTTTTGCTGACCCAAACAGACCCTTAGTCCTCTAATCTTAAAACTGTTAATAAAAAATGATGATAATAATAAAAATGATTCTCTCCCATAGCATTATTATTTTTTTTTGTGTGTTTGAATAATATGAGCAAAGGCCAGTCTCTTATTCCATCACTATCAACCGTGGGTACGCAGCACCCACAAAGTCATTATACAAGCAAGGTGAAAAATCTTTTGATGACCTATCAAAAAATCTAACCACAATATCCTGTGTTAAGCACAAATTAGCTATCTGCATAAATATTCCGTTCCCTATATACATGCTGTACTATAATATTCTCAAAACAACTCAGTTCATTTTTTACAACCCGAGCAGCAGCAGAACCACATTTCATAATGAGATTGTTAATACAAACCCCTTTGCCCTTTGAAGATCAGACCTGTAATGACATCCCACAGTTCAGCTTTAATCACGGAGTATCATCTAAATTTGATTTATTATTGTCGAAATAAAAGTACCATTTCAAACTATAACTTGTTTTGAAAATGATTTGGGTGGGAATGTTAAAGGGGAAAAAAGACTAAACAAGGCTGTAATCTCAGCTTGTTACCTTTATCACATGTCAAACGATGGAATTTCTCAACTTCCTCTTATTAGATTCGTGGATTTTGATACTCTCCTCATTCTCCCCCCCCCCCCCCCGCTTCTTTCTCTTCATTCAATCGCCACCATTGAATTAAAAAAAAAATGGTTGAATTCAATATTTTATAAAATTATTATTTTTCTTCTATTTTTAGATACTCTACAATTATAAACTGTTTAGATTAAATTTATTTATTTATCCTGTTTAATTATGTAATTATTTAATCATGCCATTTTTGTCTTTTAAGTTTGGTTGCTTCTGCACCATTCCATTGGTGTTTGGAAGGTGGTGATGGCTCTCCCGCCCTTCTATTTGAAACACATACCCTTGGAGAATGAATAATGTACATTCAAAATTTGGTACAACATCGTATTCTTAATATAACGTTTATATAATTAATTTGTGAAGATTAAAAAAATTAATTAAAATAGTTTTTTGTAATAAATATGTATTAGTTTTTCTAAAATACCTTTCTTAATCATTTGCACTGTAACTACTCCTTGATGGAAACCTTCTTACTGTATGCAAAAAAATTAGTTGAAATAAAGCGTTTGTCTAGTTCTTTTGTTTGGGAAGTATATAGGAAGCTTGTGCGGGTGGGGCTAGGGTGATACTTGATATCATAGAGTAAGCACTCTAATATTTATCGCTATGACAAAAATTATTCAAGTATAATTTAAATGGTTCGTTTCTTGCGTAACAAAAATAATTTAAATGGTTCAGTTTTAAAATATTTAAAATTTTTTTTGACAAAACGATGAGTCAGAAAACTATCTTCATTTTTAATGTTTCATATATTCAAATTAAAAGAGAATAAAAAACAAAAAATAAAATAACATTAAATATTGGGCGTCCGGTCCACTTTAGCATGGATGTTCCAGATTGGTGCACCCAAACTCATTCCAAGTTTGCTCAGGAACGGAAGTACGGAACATATTCCATGTTTATTAATATGCACCATTTAATTTTATTTTGGATGATCTAGATATGACTGATATATTTTATGTTCTAAATACTTTATTTTAATTGATGCATGATTAAAATTAAAAAGATCTCGTAAGTGGCACTTCTTTAAAAAATAAATGTTATTAAAAAATTGTATATCAAAATTTTTAAATCTAAGACGTTCAAATCATATTTATTATCCAATACCAATTTTGCCATATCTCCCCATTTTTCTTTGGGATTAAAATTTCGTTAGAATGTTTTCTTTTGATTTAAATTATGAGAATTATGCTAGAACTGTTGAATTCGTTAATACTCATTCCTATACCGAAAATTTTTTGGCATGATTCAACAATCAGCACAGGTAAGTTTTGGGTGCTTGTAAATGCGGGTAAGAGTTTTTTTTTTTTTTTGTAATGATTGTTTATCGTGGTTATTGATACCTACACTCTAAATATAATTTTAACGGTTTAAATTAAAAATTCTCAACTGATAATTTTTAACTAAGAAAATTATATTTTTTTTTGGAAAACTGATAGTTAAAATTTTTGTGTTTTGAATTTTACACCAACTAAATTAATTATTTAAAAATAAAAATAAATATGAACTATTCAATTAGATTTAAACGATCTAGATTAAGTACTCATCATTAAGTATTCAAAGTAGGGAAAATTCATGGGGAATGTTGTGTATAAAAAGAGATAAGGAATGTGATGATCACCCAAAACTCACCAAATATGAACAGTCTACATTTCATTTCTCTTTTACTTTTATTTTATAAAATAATTCTTTTAATGAATATAGAATTTATAATAAAGATAATATCTTAACTATTATTTTTTTTAAAAAAATTAATTATAATTTTTAATTTAAACCATCCAAATTAGATCCGGTCATTTAGAGAAGTTTTGGTGCTTGTAAATGCGGGTGCGGGAATATTGAGTTGGACAATAAGTGTCTGTTTGGTTGGGAGGGCTTGTTGGGTCATAAGGAGCTTATTTTCTAGAGAAGTCCGATTGAAAATTGTGGTCTTATTTGGCACAGCTTGTCGGCTATTGAGCTTGAAGGCCGAAAGCTGGGCAAACGTGGGATTGAAAATAAGCTGAGGGAGGTATCTTTTATCTGCTTATGACTTTTATTCTCTCTCCTCTCTCTCATTTCTGTCTCAAGCTTGTCGCCTCATCTTATGCTCTTCCCTCTGTCTCCCGCCTGTCCGATAAGATGCTCTCTCTCTCTCTCTCTCTCTCTCTCTGTTCGCGCCAACATGAGCATATTGTTCTTTAATAAGAATGCGCAGATTAATATTTCCTAGTGCTATTAATATCAATCCAATAAAATCCAGCCATTTAAACATATTTTAATGATTTTTTTATTATGACATTTTAAATTAAAAATTTTACATCATTCATCATTTTAATTCCATATTGTGTACACATAATATATAAATAAATAATTTTGAGTTTTACAAAATTACGTTTCACTTTATATTTACAAAAAAGTTTTATAATAACTCTAATTTTTTAAAATATATTTTCAGTCATGAAATTTGTTTCTTTATACTGAAATAATTTAAATTTATTGTATTATGTAAATTTTTTTTTAATCATTTTTATTATTTAATAAAACTCATACTTATTTTGGTAATTTTACAAACTAAATTTACTAATTTAAATTTATTGTATTGTGTAAATTTATCTCTTTATTATTGTTCGTTATCTAATAAAATTCATACCTATTTTAGTAATTTTTCAAACTAACTTACTTTTATTCAATTATAACCAAAACAACTTTTTATCCAATTAACTTTTACAAATTAACTTTTATAAAATTCAATTCAAACACAATTCACATTACCCAATTTAACTTTTACTCAATCTAACTTTTTCAAAATCAAATTACTGATAAGTTATTTTTCAATCGTCAATCAAATGGACTCTAAGTAGCAGGAAGGAAAAAAGCACCATTGTTGCCACGACAGGGACGGCTTTGTTCTTTCTAGTTTTCAGACCATCCCACTTTTCTCTACTTCTGCTGGCACCCATCGCGTTAGTTTTCATGTTCTTTGCACAGTAGTATTTCTTTTAACTCTGTCTCTATCCTATATAACACATGGCTGATCCAGTGAGGTTAGTATGCTCTCTCTCTCTCAATTACTTTGCTAGCGCTTTCTTATTCTTCGTTTATCATTTACTCACTGCACATATATGCTTATATATATATATATATATATATATTTCTGCATCTTCAAGCTTCTATCACTTCCCATCGTTCATATTTGCTGATATAGTTCAAAACTTCAACACTTTTTTTATTGAAAGCAAAGGTGTGGCCTCTGATCTTAGGTTTAATTATTATATATTCGTTCATAATAATAGTGAGTTTGCTGGTTTCTCGCAGTTCAAAGCCTTGGCATTCTATCTTTGTATTCTTCATTACAACTATAGCCATGGTGGTTCAAATGCCTGTAGACAAACACTCTCCAAATCTGTGGATCTTCATAGTTTGCTTGTTCCTTTATGGCTTCTCATGCGCCTACTACAAGTCTGAGGCCTTCATCCCAAATAATGATACCCCATATTTCAAACTCTCATCTCACGTAGCTGCAATCTCAGGAAGCATGGCTTGTGTTGCACTCATATCAGTGTTGGCTTCTAAACCTGCTTTAGCACTCATCGTCATTCTCTGCTTCATGTGGCTCCTCATATATTTTTGCCCCAACCCAGCAACCGAAATATGTAAGAAGGTAGGTTCATATGTGTACGACTTGTGCAAAGGAATTGAGCATAATCATGACCCAGCAGACACCCTTGAAGTTTAGACGAGTCTCAGGTTGTACAAGTGATTATTATAATGTCTGCCGGCAATCAACAGACAGCAAGTTATAATGCGATTATTGTACTGTTTGTCTGCCCCTTTTAATTAGATCGTCATTTACAAATAGATTTCACACAATATGACAAAAAAAGGAAACAAAGATGAAAGTGCAAGTGATGCTCGTGATGGCGTGTGTGATGTACTACCTCCGGTCCTTATTATAAGACCCCGTTTGACTT